ACAGTTTTCAAATTTCTATTATTAAGAAATACGTCCCTAGTCATTATTAAAGCTTAGTGAAATATATTGAATACACACTGGAAGCTAGATTTTGAGCTATTAATCTTTTCAAAACACGCGTTCCGCAGATTCGGCCAGTCAATTTTAATTAAAATTGAAATGGTCTTGAAACCGAGCAAGCATTTAATACTATTATTCTAAAATGCTCCTTTTAAAATTAACCTCACGATGCTCAAAGAAAGCTGCGTGTGAGTGATAAAAAATGAGATTAGTAGAAATACGGCTGACTCATCTTAAAGTTCCAACAACACAATGATCAACTTTGCAGATACTCTTGTCATAAGCTTCAAAGTTAGTTCTCTGATAAAGATAAGAAACTCGTACACTGCATTTCTTGTTTTGATGACTACCTTTATCAAAAGATTTTGAAGACTCATCAGTTCGAATGGCGTTTAACCTACCTACATCGGTCTACTTTCCATGAGGTCGCTTGTAGTTATTACTGACCATATAAAGCTTCCTTTAGCCAGACAAAGATACTTTGAAAATTCTTCGATATTACATTTGGTTTTCTGAAGGTAGCAATGAGGACAAAGGCGTTGCAAGCTTCTTGAAAATCGTGCATAAAGTATTTCAATTTTCCTCTTCTAAGCTCTTACATCCATTCTTTCTAACTGTTCATCCTAAGCAGTTGTTGTTTTGCAAAATATTACAGAGTAGAGTTTTGGATGATAAGTAAAACTGTAAAATATTACACTTTTCAAATTGCGTTATCATTACCTGAAAAGTGAAATATATTCAAGTTTCTTCTTTTATTCAGAGCTTCGAAAATATACATTTTATCTTCAGAAGTACGTAAGAAATGCACTTCATTATAACATAATGCACACTTAGCTAAAAATATTTATATTGAAATTTGAATTCAGAAAGACATATATATATATACCTGATGTCTTGACGGGGGCAAAAGTCGAAGCTTACAGGTATAAGTTATTTAGTTTGATATAGCTAGTTGCATTTGCGCATTAAAATGTGTAGTCTGCAATAAAATGTCTACTGTGTAGAAATATGTAGTATGGTAGGGTTGGTAAGTCGTTGAGATGTGTATCTGAAGGTACCTTTTGCAAATTAAATTCTTAGTTTATCATCTCTGACGGTTTTCTGTCAGAGTTTATCACTAGAACTAAAAAAAAATTAAAAATAGCAATATTTATAATATAACCTGAAAGCTGAATCAGATATGCTTATCTAAACAAAATTTTAATCAGGATTCCGGTCTACAATTCAAAGACGACTAAGAGTAATAACTCCCTGTTTAGGCCCTTTAACCATAATCTTGTTGAAATCTGAAGAGTATATGGAAACCTCTGTTAAATGGTAAATAACTAATAGATATGCGGAAATATTAATGTTCTTGGAGTGCGGAGATTAAGAGCTTCGTTAATGAAACGAGTATTTAATACGCATATTTCAGATTCAAACACATTGCTTTCACTTTTTATTACATCACAAGGTCCTGCAGAAAGTAGCGTCACACGTGTCAATAAGATTTAACTTTATTCGCAATGGTTTTCACTATAAATTGCAAACTGACATCCATATTGGGGCCAAAGAAAAGGTTCCACATATTTAAAAATTTTTCAATCAATTGCAGTTAGCATTTTTGGTAAGATAAATAAACAATAATTTGTCCGCTAGAGTTTAAGCGGAAAGGAAAGCAAAAGTGGAGTGGCAAAATAAACGTCGAGATTATTTTATTTTCACAGAGGTAAATGGGACACAAGCCCCGGGGCTCCATTTTTAAGCGAGTCTCCAAATCCTCCTATAGTATATGAAACAACTATTTTATTAACCCTAAGTTTTTAAAATATAAAAGTGGGAGTAAGAATAAAACGCTAAACTTCATACCGTATGTTTTGTTCCGTTCTTTAAAAAAGTCAAACTAGGTCTTTGAAATTACTGACAAATGCAATATTAATTACACTTTGACAGAAACACAGAATTACACTTTCAGTTTAGAGATTATTAAAGTATGATTTATAATGAACGGGTATGACATGATATTTTAAACAATTTCAAAATTATTTTTAAGGTAATGCATAAATGCCATGTAATATACATGAAAAGTAATAATCTTTCCATGTTTCAAAGAAACTGATCTTTTTAATTCTAGATGATAAAGAATCTAAGTGCTTCAATTCAGTTTTCTTTTGTCCCTCCCATTTTTCTTCCCAGTTTCTTTTAGAAAAACGAAATCCTGGGTTAAAAGATGCAAGTTTATATTTTATACAGCACATATTAAATTGAAACCATGAAAACAAAACGCACAAAAAGATGAAATGTATAGTTTTTCAATAGCTTTGAATGAAAAATACTGAATCATAGATTATTACACTAAATATTTTATATTAAATATATTTCACAAGAAATATAACTTACATCAGCGACATCTACTACGCTCAAAAAAACTAGAGGGGCGGAGGAGCCTTCGTAAACAGGTTTTGCCCCGGGCGTACAATTTTGCAAATCCGGCCCTGAAACCGCGTAGGACTTATGTCTATACTTACAGCCTAATAATATGATTTCATTTATACATAAATAAAAAGGAAAGCTGCGGCTTAAAAATAATGAACTGAAATAACTGTTTCTGGTCACAAAAGTAAGGAGTGGATCGTGAATTTATTTCTGCAAGCCTTTTTAAAGCAAATTCAAGTAAAAGGTGATTCGTATAGTAGGGGCCAAACTGGACTTCCAAATAAGCAGACAAAACTGGATTCACCTGAAAGGCATTCGCCTAAAGAGAGAAACTCACACTACGTACAACAAATGTCAGTTTCAAATGGCAATAAATTGTACCTTTGTTCCATCCGTCACCTAGAGCATAGAGGGTAGAAACATAGATACAATAGAGCGGAGTTTAAAGAAAAGAGCTCACGTGCTTCTTTTTTTCCTCCTGAAAAAATGTTACACGATGGCTGAGGCTCATAATGCATTTTCTGGTGATAGTTAAAAGCATACCTAAAAGTTAAACAGGGGCATTTGAGATGAAAATTTTCCATTTCTTAAAAAAAGAAAAAAAAAAAATTCTTGTCATAAATCAGATGACAGAACTTCGATCAAACATTAAGTATTAAAAATTAAAAATTTCATTTTTTTAAAATTGCTTAGTATTTAATCTTGAGAATGAAGTTTGAGTACATATTTTTTAATACGTGCATTTACCAAGATTTGGAGCTATGAAATATAAGGCAATTCTTTCAAAGTAAGTGACATTTGTATTTAAAATGTATTTAAAATATTTCCTGGAAAGAATACGCAGAAAACAGAGAGGGGGGGGGGAATTTGCGCAGAAACCACAAATCTTGATTCATGCGCACATCATTCAAACGACGAACTTTTCTTAATACGCGCACTTTTTACACAATTGAAAAGATAATGTGTATGCTTTCTGATAGGAAAGTGATCATTCATAAAGAGACATTTAAGAAATTTAATAATGTACTAAAATGTACATTTAAGAATTAATTGGAGGTACAGAAGAATCTCTCGAAGAAAAACCAGTCATGCGAAACTCTCAGTTCTTAACTAAATAACAAACTATATTCCGTATCTAATTTGGATTTAATTTTTATTATATGTTAAACGAAAAGCATTTAACTTTTCCTCAGTGGGGCTTTCTCCTCAGGGAAGTTCGACATTTAAATAGCTGGAACGGATTCTTAAATTTAACTCGGGAACACCTGCCGTGAAATCTTGCTTCTCAAGAAAATGATTTCTCTTCTCACTACATTTACAGTTGCTCGAGTATGTAAATGCTTTTTTTTTTAAGTACCAACATAATTTATGCAGGCAGTTTTATCTCATTATTCATTAAGAAATGGAATTTTTTAATTTCAGGAAACTTTCATGACGTACTAATTTATGAGCAAAGTGAAGTCTTACGAAAGTTTCATTGCATATGCTGGAATTGAAGTTGCTGTAAGGAAGTTTTAAAAATATAGTTTTGTGTTTCAAAGAACGTTATGATCAAAGACAAAAACTTTATATATTATAGATATAAAAGTTTCTATCAAGAATCTAAGCACCATTAAAAAGGATTACAAGCATTACTTAATAATGATTGTCTCAATTATATTTTCTCTGATGAGAATTTCACATAAATATATTTAGCTATTTATTTTTTAATTACTTCTGCCCCTTGAAACTTAATTATGCGAAAAATAATCCGATCTCAGAGAACAATAAAAAATGTGTCTTTAATCATCTAAAAAATGCAGTGCCTTCCACTAAATATATTTTTAAGAACTCATGGATAAAAATAAACTATACATTTTTTTATTTCAATTGTTGGGTCTTTACTACCAAATAGAAAAATGAAAAGAGATAAACAGAATATAACTTTATGAAAGAAAAAAGAACTCGGTTATTTTTTCTTGAATTTTTGGGTCTTCATTTCTAAAATTTTGCAGATTTTTATGCAGCTGCAAATGCACTCATCCTCTTCAATGCCATTCTGTGCTAGAAGTTAATATTTTTTAATCTAGCTCACTAAAAATAACTCTCAGCAGTCCACATGGGGGATGAAAACTCTGAAATGCAGTCATTTGAAATAACAAGTTATTAAACAAACCCCACCAAAAAAAAATTTTTTTTTAATTAGGTTTTGATATCCGCCGAATTAGAAGATTTTATCTGCAACTGTGACAGCAGAAAAGAAGCCTTGTAGATTTCTTTTTAAAGCGTGTTCTTGCATTTAAAATAGTTCATGGATATATGCATATTTTGTAAAAGTAACCAGACTTAAACAAAGATTATTAAGCTTAAACTTCATTAATACAGTAAAAAAGAAAAGAATTGGTCAGAAAATAGGCATCAAAAGCACTGATGATTTGCAATAAAATTTAATGTTACACAAGTACAGGTCTTTACTAAGTTTGTCCCACTCCTCTAAATCAATTTCTTATAAAAATAAAAATTATAATAAGCATATGAATACTTACGTTTACCACAGGGGCACTAAGATGAGACACATCTTGAGCTTGTCGGGATAAAGTTAATTTTGAACTTGGCACAATTTGATCACCTAATTCTTGACTGCTGTCATCTGGATGCACAAAGTAAAAACTAGCATCCATTGTTGGATGCCCTACCGTAAGTAATAATGCGGCCCGCTAGCAGGGCCGAAATCAACGTTGCCAGTCGACTGCATTTGTCACAATTGCAAAAAAAAAAAAGTTAAAGTTTTGTTTCTTTAATTTCGTGACACCAGTAACACGTGACGGCACTTTCTAAATCTTCTACAGAACTGTTGATAAATCTTTTTTTTTTTTAATATCACAATGTATACAATCCAATTTACCAACTTTTTTTCTGCAGACGTATTATTTGCCTAAAGTTGTTGAGAAACTGCAGCCAACAATTCCTTGTTCACCCCGTAAACAATTACGTGCAAAATGTGGGTTGATTTTCAACCGGCGTAAGCACTGACGGCTCGCCGGCAATGTTCAAAAACTCCGTCAACTTCCTCCTAAGCCTAAGCCGGAATCAACTTCGGAAGGCCGAGATGAGTGCTTCGGACGGCGCTTCGCGGCGGTACGGCATGGGCGAATGGTATGTTCGCCCTCGGGGAACATATACTGAACTAGGCTATTTGGGGCTTTTCAAACTTTCTAATGGCGCGCATCGCGACTATCGAAGACGATATTTTTTGGAGAGAAAAAAATCGTTTTACAACTTTCCTCAGAGGCGCGTTCATCTGCGGCTGATTTGAGGATCGAATCGTGGTATGGATGGGTGGGGAGTTTGTGACGCAGAAAGTGACGTTCCCTCCGTACTATTCGTCATTGGATGAGATACGGAAAGTTTTGATTTGGGGTTAGCACAATTAGCCTGGGGATTTTCAGTTGGCAGCGTTTCGCTAGCCTTGGCGATCTATCATTGCCATTCGATGTCTCCTATTATGTTGGGCATATGTATTTCGAGCGACCTACTACTTGTAGTCACCACATTTTAAAGGTAAGATAAAGCGATAAGCGGTTTCTTGTAGGGGGTGATGTTCTGGAGTACGGAAACAATGCATCCTTTTATTTCCTTTTAATAGCTTAAAACGGGCTACTGGAGGGTTTCGAAATTTAGAATTTAAAAAATTCTAAAGTGCATTGAAAGTTTCCATTTATGTTTTGAACTCAAGAGCAGAAAACAACAAAAGAGAAATAATAATTTTAATACATCTTTCGATATATTTCACATGATATTATATTGCAATAGTTATTGTATTACACATATTTTTACACTGGAAAAATCGCAAAACTCGCATTCTAAAATAAACCATTATTCAAAAAAAAAAAAAAAAGCTTGTGAATGTAATAAAAAAGTCTGAATTGATAATAATATATAGCATACAAACACCAAATTAGAAGATCTTCATTCTACAATAACATTAAATGGAGGCTTACTCTAAAAATTTAGAATTTCTCAGAAAAGAATTGACTTATTTTTATTCACTAATTAAACAGAAAAAACTGAACTATGATAAATGTATCAGCAAAGCATAATTCCCGGATTTGGTTCTTTCAAAAAGAAAATGAAAGATAAAGGAAGTGGTCGACAGTTCTTTAAAATAATTGCTATATAGAGATTAAAATGACTGATATCAATCAACCAATCTGCTACTTAAATCAGTTGTAACTAATAGTTAATAGCAAATTATGTGTAAATGAGCGTACTAATGTCGTTCAAGAGAAACCGAATCCATTTTTAATATCTTTCCAATAACACTGGAAATAACAAGTCAATTTATGTAATATTTTCTTTTTAATTCCTCTGAAAGTCTGTGTTTTAAACTACCATGCAATTTTATACTGACTGCAAAAATGTGTTAGTTGCATACTAATTTATAACAGAGTTGGTTAATAACATCTTACCTATAATATAATAATTAAAGTTATTTTCCTATAAATCATATGTATGATAATTAGTTTTAAACATTTTAAAAGTACATATTTTTGGGATGCTTCTACAAGCATTTCAAAAAATTTTGTTTAAAATAATCAATACTTTACCCTTTTACAATAAAATACTCTTTTACTAAGCATATTATTTAACATGCAGTAAGATAGTTGCTAACTGCAATGAGCAGTTTCGTACAATTTTATTACACTCTACTTATTCAACGTATGTATGATTACGTTTGAGTACACTTTTAAAAATATCACGTTAATAAAAATCATGTTAAGTCATAATCACAATTGATTAAAATTAAAATTTCTAAATGCTTGGTTTAGAAATTCAAATAAAACCAAACAGAAAGTAGAACTTAGTTATTATGGTACGTTTTTACGAAAGACGATGAATGAAAGCAAATATTTCTTCGGCAGTTTTTGTTGATGTAACTTCAGAACAATTCTTAGATAACTGTCTTCTTTATTTTAAATTTATTATTACTGCATATATTGGGCATTTTCTTTTCTCTCTACAGTTCTCTCCTAACATGTCTTAAAAAAGAAACTAAAAGAGATTGTATTCTATAATGGCTTTGATTTCTTAATAACAATTTTAGAAGCTATTTATAATTCTCCAAAAAGCAGATTCTGAAATTTGCAAGCGTGGTGATGCTGAGATACATAAAGTGGCGAGTTCATTGTTATATTCATAGATACAGAAATAAATATTTTTTCTGAATTATCTATACTGTTTTATTGAAGGGTATACGACTTTCTAAACATATGGCTGAGCTATAATAATTACTTATAGTATTAAGACTTTAAAACATAAAAATATATTAAACGATATAGAAGTTACCTACAATTTGGTTAAAAGTCTCAAAGTTTTATCATATCCTTAAATTTCAAAATCTGAGACAATACTTAAAATCGATGTATATTTAGCATTAATAGTATGTATATTTTCTAATCATTATTAATCTTACTTTGAAACTTTTGAAAGACAATCCAAAGCTTATGCATCAGAGGAAAATGCATAAAATAAATTTTAATGAATATTAATGATACATCGACTTAATTAATTAACGGCCAGTTATTAAAAGACTGTATGCCTCAGAACAGCTCACTTCATGGAAGACTTTCCTAAAAAAAAAACTGGTTTGCGTTTTGTTTAACGCAGTACAACGAAATTATGAGTACAGACAGCCTGTTTTGTCCTGAACTGAAACTGATTTGAAACACTAGTACGAATGCTCACAGATTTTCCTCCCCCTGGTCATACAGAGTGTCTTATTATTAATATAGTTTAATTAAATGTGAAAACTTCAAAATTTTTACTTCTTTTTTCTCCATCTTTACTAAAGATGAATGATTTTCTTAAAAGCAAATGCTTGTAAAATTACTCTACCAACGCAATACACCTCCTCAACGATGAAAGAAACGGCATATGTAATAGAAAAATTTAATGTACGCAAAAGAAAATTTTATTTGTAACCTGTAACTGTCACCTTCATTTTATAATTTAAAAGCCATAGATTGAAAGAACTTGACTAGTCGATGACCAGTAAACTTGACTAGTCGATGATCAGTACACTTGACTAGTCGATGAACAGTAAACTTGACTAGTCGATGACCAGTAAACTTGACTAGTCGATACGTTATGAATCTGGAATTTTCGGCAAATTCTTTGAGTCTGATAAAACTTGATACAGTATTTCCAGAAAACAAGTATTTGCAGTGAAAGCTAAAATATCAAATAGTATCTGGTAAGGTGGGCTTTTGACGAGTTACTAACGGATACATTGTAGCTCAAAAGAAACATTTAATATTTAGTTCCGGAAAATAATTGTTTAATGTTAATAAACTCAGACCCAAATCTATAATTTGCCTTAATTAAATAAGTATTTACCTATGATATTTCAAGGCTAACCGAAATGGCATTTTAAACACACGTAAGGAGAAACACAAATATGTATAATCAATCTCAAAAAAGGCTTAATTCGGATTCATCTATAATGAGGGACTAATTTCTTTTATTCATATATGGGCATTATAAGAATTAATTTGTGTATGCAAGCATGAACACTTCAAATAAGATCCATGCGTGCAAGAAAGAGACTGATATCAATTCACCTTGTCACTCCTCGGTGTCAGACTGAATGAAAAAGTAATCTAATCAGAGCATACCGAAACTCCTGTTGTGTAGTGACTCCAACTCCCGCTCTACTGTGCTTCGGAGCTATCAGCGGAAGAACTTTTGTAAGTGCATAGAAACTTTTGTAAGCAATGCAAAACTCATGCGCATAATTTTCAGCTAACGCATTTATGTCTTTGATATACGTATGTTGTGAACATTACGAATTTTTGTTATTTAAGCATTATAGCATCGTTAAGGTACATCAGAATGTTCAACTTTGGGTAGGGGATGTTTTTGTGTTTGCTCAGTTTCATAAAAACATCAAAGAAAGTCGTTCTCTAAATCTCTTTATCAGCTAACATATTTAAAAATTAACATACGAGCGTATTATAAAAACCAAATTTATTAAGAAATTTCGACCTTTATACAATATTATACATAACACATTTCAACCAGGATCGAATTATGTGTTCAGCGGAAACATGGCTTCAACATTTTTAGGATTTTAAGGAAGATTCATTTAGTAAAATTATTCTTGAAACCATTCCTATTAAAAGTCTTATTGAAGTACATGAAAAAGAATAATATTAACAATACTGATCTGAAATGTGGTTACTCAGTTACAACAATAACAAAAGGCGTGAAAAGATTATATCAGTGTAAGCAAGTGTTTATAACCAACAGACGAAATTTCAAAACATCATCATAAATAAGATTACTGTACTGTATTATTGTGAATAATAATATTTAATTCAAATGTATTGCAAACTATACAGTCGTACACTTCATAATTTTGAACAAACACATGGATTATCGTATCAAAAAAATAAAAATTAAATGCAGAAGGAACACTAGTTTGTAGTACTTTATTAAAAAAGAAATTTAGTGTAATTTACAGTGCAGAAAAGATATTGTAATCTTGAAGCCAAAAAATCTGGTATATTCCGCAATAAAAATATTGACATGGGACTTAAATATCTCAGTTTAACATATGATCACTCTTTGTGATTCAGAGTTTCACGAGCTAATAATTAAAGAATTGAATCCTATTATATTTTTTTATTTCAAATTATTTTCAATTAGAAAACTCTCTAAAACCAGTACAAAATCGTTTTTAGAGAGTTTTCTAAACGAAAATAATTTGAAAATAAAAGAAGAATCACCATCCAAAATTAAAAATCGTTTTTTTTTTTTTTTTTTTTTTTTTTTTTTTTTTTTTTTTCGCTGACAAATAATTTCAACATGTATTTTCCCGAGGATTATAAAAAAGAAAACTGTATTAGAAATCCATTTTGTACTGAAACTTTATCTCGTGAAGAAAAAGAGCAATTGATAGAAATTTCCTATTATCTAAATCTAACTGAAGATTTAAAAAATAACACACTTGTTAACTTTTGGTTGAACCGAAAAAAAAAAAAGAATTTAAATGCATTTCAAAATAAGCTATTTAATTGCTATTGGCTTTTTGCATAACCTATTTGTGTGAACAAGGATTTTATTCCATGCTGTATTTGAAAAATAAATACAGAACAAAATTAAAAATGGATCCTAATTTACGGTTAAACCTAAGTGAAATAAAACCAGACATAAGGAAATTGATCTCTTAAACAGGCCCAAATTTCACACTAAATTTAAATTTTTAAATACTGTAAATAATTTT